CCTCAGAGCAGATGAGAAGCCCCACTGCCTTCTGTGAAGCTGACTGCATTTTTTCACCTGCTTAAAACAAAGGTTATTAGGAGTGGGGAGGAAGATGAAGGTGAGAAAGAAGAACGCTGTATTTGTTCCATGTTTTTAAAATCCCTGGCCCAGTGGCTGGGGCCCCCAGCTCCCCTGGAATGCTATTAGTAACCTTAAGATCCCAAGGGCAAGCAGCGTGTTGCTGACACCAGGAATCAGCCCCACACCTTTGAAGCTGGGCTGCTTGCTGGATCCCCCCCAGACCTTGCGTGCATGTACTGCGACCTGTAGTGCTTTTTTACTGCCATTAGGGATGGCTACACCTCACCCACTGGACACCAGCAGAGTGAGAGCATGAGTCAGAGCTGATTCGAGAGTGATCATTATCTACAAAAACCAAACGCACGCTTAGTGCGGGCCTAACACTGGATTCCACAATTATGTGGGAAAGTAGCTACAGAATATCGAAGCACCCCCAGAGCTTGTAGTATTATGTGAAAACATTGTGATCAGCAGCACCAGCCAAAGGCTGCTGTGCTTTGGTCTGCCCTACAAGGGGAGCGACGCTCCTCCTTCGTCTGAAGGGCAGATGCATTAACACACGGGTCCTTTCCTGTGCCGCTGCCTCCCATTTAAGCCAGGACTGGTAGTCTGTGGCTTTTGTGAAAGGCTGCAGAAGCTGAGATAGACTTTCTGTTCTGCAACAAGAGGGACAGAGGTTTGCTCTGTAAAAACCTGAGCCCTGAATTACAAAAACAGTGATGCTCGCCATACCCAGGCAGTATTATCCAAGGGGTACTGTCCATCTGGAGCCCTAATAGTTTTTAATAAGGCAAGGAAAGTTCAGGTAAGTTTACCCAGGGGTCCCCTGGGAAGCTGGGCAGAGACCTAGTGTTGTGCTGTGTCCTTGGCAGCGCTTTCCACGATGCTTTCCCACTGCAGCAGCACAGATGGAGCAGGGGTGTTCAGTAGTAAGTTAGGGTTCCTTACAGTGCTTGTGAAGTCCCTGAGTTTATTCTTCAAATAAGCACCTCTCACAAATGCTCCATGACCTATGCTAACAAGAGATTTCCCAGGACTAAGGGCACTATAGCCCTGAAGGATCTGCGACGCTCAGAGGACTGCTGAGTCCCAGAGACTACCACTTATTAGTAGAAATTATAATTCAAACAATATGTAGCAGAGCTTTCAAAATACAAAATGTTTGCTTCTGTAACAGTCATTTTACGCTTGCAAACTACCTGAATGCACCTGCATCCCCTGAGTATGGGGAGAGACAACAAAGAGCCTCAAGAATGTAGAGGTGTGTAGTGCATATCCTCATGGAAGCAGAAGTCTGCAGTCCCACAGGACTATGAGATGGGGACACATGCAAAAGGCACCACACCAGATACACTGTTCAAACTGTACCCCAGCCTCCATGGCAGGGTCAACGAACAGGAAGGAGTGTAGCTGCTTAGGAGGGGGAGAGAGCCCTGCCTGGGAATTGAAGGAGGGGCGACAGAAATCGGAGTTGGGAATATTGGCCCTTCCTGCTATGTTATCGCCTCAGACTGGCTGCACCCCATCTAACACAGTGCAACTTCAGACCTTGAGCCTGGGGCTGCTGAGGCTGATTAAAAGTGTTAGCACGTGCAGAAAGGAGGCATGTGCATCTTTGGTCAGGGCAGTAGGAAAGCTGCAAGGAGGCACGACTGTCCTCTGAAATGCTTGGGACAAGGTCCTTCATGGCAAACCCTGAGTTTCTTCCCACTCCCCAGCCTAACTTGTAGAGTTCTTTTTTTTCTGATAGTGTCTAACATTTCTTAGGGAGAAATATGAAGGCTCTTGCCCATCAAAGCTTGAATTCCGGCTAATTTTTTTTACCAGCATTTCCACCTGCAGCTGTTTCCAAAACCTGCCCTTTGGAAACTTGGATTTCTCGCCTTTCCATTTAATGACAGTCAAGGCTGCCTTGGCCTGCTTCAGCTCCTTCACCTTGCTCTTCTTGATGGCTTTGTACTGCACTAGAATGACTTTGATGCTGCCCTTGGAGGCCATATTCTCTAGACCAGCCTTGAGCTCCAGCAAGGCCTGTGTCCCCTGCAAGACGTAGTTGGGGCTCAGGACAACAAGCAGGTGGCGGCTTTTCTGGATGAAGCTCAGGGTTTCATCTGTGACAACTGGGAGAAAAAAACATCAAGGTGGTTAGTGATGGCCGAGAACAGGCTGCTGAGCTGCTAAGGTGATTCCAGGTACCTCTTAGAGGGGACAATAAAATCCCTTTGGAGCCCTCTCCAGAGACTATGCTGCTGCTTCCCAACACTGCAAGTGATTCGAGGTAGGGTCTGCTATCCTGCAGCTGGTACCACCCCCCCAGACAACGATGTCTGCTGCTCCCAGCCTCTGTCTGCCTGTCTCCCCATAATATGTGGGCACAGCCTGAGATAGCTACATGTAAAAAGCGCTGAACTATGTGGCAATGACACCCTTTGATGCCAGGAGCAGTTCGACAATGCATAGCCTCAAGTGGGGGGGGAAAAAAAAAAAAAAAAAATAGGTGACAGGAAGCCTCTGCTTTAAACCTCCTTTGGTGTCCAGAAAGACTGCACGTGATCCTTTCACCTCTCTTGCTTTGGTTTCCCAACAGCAAACACACACAAGAACGATCTATGCCCTCCCTAAGTGTCCTTACAGGTTAATTTATTCTGGAAATCCTGCCATGTTAACTACTGTTTTTCTTCCAGCTGTTCCTATTACCATCTTTGATGAAGGCAGATTTGTGTCTTTCTAGACATGACAAGTGCAACTGCTCAGAGGATTTTTAATGAAGTGTCCAAAAATGACACCCTTAGAGCTGGAGACATGTCATGGTAACTGTGGATCCTCTCTGATTTTCTAACATCTGCAGGTACATTGTCCTTAGCCACCTTTCCGTAATTAATGTGAAGTTTCTTTGCAACTGTGAATCCTTGTGGTTGCTCCCTGTTGCAGGATCTCCCACGCTTCATTGACAATGGAACGTTCTTGACTGGTCAGAAAATACAATGGAGAATAAAATAACACTAATACATAACTTCATTTAGCTGTCAAGCACATTTGATTAGTTCCTGTCAGCACACTAGCAAGATAATCCATCTCCCACTGCTTCTTCATCAAGGACAACATAATTCTCTACCTATGACACAGATGCACACACCAGAGGCAAGACACCAGCTGCCAAAAGCTATTTCCTGGCCTGGCATGCTACCCCAAGAAGGAGATTAGTCAAAACCTAGCTAAGAAGCTGTGGGGGAGCCACAATAATGTTGCATATGGCATTGCAGTTAGAAGTGACCCTCTCAGTGCTCAGGAAGGCTTGGCCTTTGAATTTCACCAGAATAAGGCAACCAGTGAATACTGCTGTGTGTAGAGATGGGAACACTCTCCAGGGCGGGACGGGGGCTCTGGGCAGAGAGCTGAGCTGGGGAGAAGGAGGGAAGGATGGAAAGAAGTGGCAGAATGGAACAGGAGGGAGATGTATGTCCCAAGGAACAACCTGTGAGAACAGGCCTGTCTATAGGAGCTAGCTGGGGCGGTTTTGAACTCTAAGCCAGGGGTGGTTCTGGAAAGTCCAGCTCTGCAGCTGGGCTGCCTGGTAGCAGTGTGTCTCTCCCTTCAACAGCTCCATGTCTGTGCAGGAGGGAAGTGTAGGACACATCTACCCCTTCAGCCTTGTTCATGAGCTTGCAACCCTTTTGAAAACAGGCAGTGGACAGCATCAATTCAGAAGAGCTTTTGCAGTAAAGCTGCAACTCCCCAACTCCCCTCAGGAGCTCTGCATTGGGACATCATGATGCCAGTATTGCTGTTCCACAGACAGCAGCTGGAACAAGTCAAAGAGAACCTGAGGAGACACTTCTCTGGACCAAGCACAAGAATGGAGCTCTCAGCAAGGCATTTTCTTATGGCAAGCACAGCTCAACATGCAGCCATGTGTATCCTTGACCATGCACACAGCAGAATAGTGGGGCAGATGAGAGCATATAGCCATGACCAATGTACTAGCTGTTCTTTCACTCATATCCATGACCAGAACAAATGGCAGGCTGACCCAGAGGTTCTTTGGCCACACAGGCTGCTGTTCACCACAGCACAGCTTGGATGATTTTAATCTTTTAGCTCTGACTTTTATTTTTTCCTCTCTCTCACTTGGCAGAAAATTGGATCAGGGTTGAGTGGGAGGAGAGACAGCTGTCTGCCTGCATCCCTGCTGCCATCAGTTGAGATCTTCTGAAATTTCAGCAGCCAAGGAGAGATGGGCAGAGACCACAATCTGGTGGGCAAATTCTGAAGGCAGCGTGGCTGCAGGCAGTACAGCTAGCCGGCCAACAGGCAATAATTGCAACAGGATAACAAGCCTTACTAAGTAAACTTCTCTCACACTACTAATGAATACACTTGTGGCCTACGGTCTTGAAAGCACAGAGAGGGGAAATTTGCTTTACTGATTAGCTTCTCAAATTAAATGACCTGAACGTTTAGCACTTGCAAACCTGCCTGGAAGGTGACCTGTCAGTGATCTGGGCTTTCTTTAGAACTAACAGTGTTAGGATTACAGTTCTCTCCCCACCCTGGGGCACTTGTATTTACCTGCCCTTAAACCTTGATGTGCTGTACTCTGAACTAGGATAGAAACATAAAAGGATCCCAGATTGATTCTGCTTCCTCCTACACAACTCAGGCTGGACTGGGACTCCAGCAGTCCCTCCTGTCCCATCCCAAAGCAAGTGAGCTAATCCCACACTAACTTCATCTGCGTAATTTCTGACATCAGTGAGGTCCATGATTTCAAAGCAGACTGTGTGCACTGACAATGGTTTTGATCTCTTAGTTTGGTCAGGGACCCTTTAGCCATCTTGGACCCCAGACACTGGAAATTCAGTGTTGGGTAGATTTGTGTCCTTATTCTGGACCTCTGTGATTGTATGTGGAAAGTTTCACCAACTTCCTTTCTTGGTAATTCCCTTCATCCTTGTAGGGAGCTTTTTGACCAGAACCTCAGCATATGATTCATCTTGAAACAGCAATAAGATATCTACATCTTCGTGAAAGAATGAGTCCCACTACCTGCAACATATTCTTAATCATTTCCACCAACTGTTTACTATGTTAGACATAGACTCTCTAATTAATGAGGGCAGGTGGAAGGCCTTCTGGGAGGATACATTATCTTTTCACTGGCAGGGTGCTCTTGATCCTCCCTGAGCAGAAACTTCTGGTGTTTATGATCACTCAATAATATTGTCTGAAACCTACCAATCCACTCTAGTATTGTACTCTCCCCCTGTCTGTCTTTCTAACCTTGATTTTATGCCCATTTCTTAAGGCAGCTCAAAGGTATGTCAAAAGTCAATGGGCCTTGTGTTGACAGATCCATCACTCCCCATACATCACTCTTGGAAAGAGCAATGGAGATGAATAATCTCTACCTCTTTACCACATCAGCCTTTCAGGTGATCTGGGGCATATGCTACATTGTAATAGGAAGCAAAAATATTAGAAGATATCAACAAAAGATGATTAACAGAGATGGGGAAAATAAAGGATAAAGTTAAGCTGGAGAGGCCAGCTCCTATTAATTATCAGTACTACAAAGACAATAATGAAGAGAGGATGAGCATGCAGCACAACACCCTGTGAAATACTCACTTCCCCCGGGGAGGCTGTCTCTGTCGAAGATACAAAGCTTGTACCCAAACTCATTCTCCAAGACTCCCCGCAGCGTCAGCAGCACAAACTCCTCCTCTTCTGCATTTCGTGCATAGGACACATATACATCGTACTCCTTCCCATCTGAGCATGGGGATTACAGAGAAACACAAAGAGCAGAAAAGACACTTGTGATACTGGTTGAGTCTTTCACTTGCTTCAAAGGGGAAAACAAATATGAATGTGCACTTTGAGTCCTCAGGACTGATCTCCATCAAGCACACTGATCTCCATAGTTAGAAGAGGGCAGTCATGTCCCTTAGATTACCCAGCCAGAATGTCCAGATACCCAGACACTACCGCGCAGCTGAAGCAGAAGACTGCAGCAACATGACCACCTCATTCTGACCAGAGTTCCCCTTGCACTTTTACATCCCTGACATTGCTTGCTCTTGCTGCTGCCAAACCCCATGAGCATTCCCACCGAACAGAGATTTGCACCCTGACTACATCCTCTGAGAGCCTTAGCACTCTCCCAGCAGCTTCACACAACAGGATGTGAAGCAAGAAATTAAGATCCTCCTCGCCCTACAGAGGGAGAAATCTCAGCCCATAACTCAAGAGATCAATGTATTCCCAGAAGGCGGTGTCAAAACGAAGACTAGAAGGGCAATTTCCAGATCACACAGAATCGCAGAATCAGATCCCGTGTTTTGGATACTTAATTACCTCCCCCTTTCAGATGCTTTCTTTAATCTGAAAAGAAATCAGACGTGCTTCTTTAATCCTTACACAGGGTGACCAGAGAGACTGGGCAACTTATCTCTGACTGTTTAGATCACACTAAATAGCTAGTCTTCAGTGAAGCAGTGTCCTAGGAGCCTGACATGTCAACATCTCACCCCCTACCAACAATATGAAGGACTTATCTCTCTCCTTCCCTCAGTCCCAAGTCTGACTCCTCTTGCTCTAAACTGACCCAGAAAACTGCAGGTATAAACATGCAAGGTCAAAACGTTATTGCATTGTGAAGAAAGTTTAAATGAGCTTATATGAAAATTACTACATACAAATGAAGGGTCTGGGTAGTAACAGGATAAAATTAACATAGCATCTTTAAATCCTTACCTAGAATGGTTTCATCTGTCCCAAAATGGGCCCGATAGAAGAGAACCATTTCAAGCCAGTAAACGTGATAGATGACTATCAGCACCACAACGAGCAGGATGGTTGCTCCCCGTCCAAAGGCGAGATCCCCGGTGTATTTTAAGGGGAACACTGGGAATAACAGCCAAGAGCTAAGCTGATCCTTCAGAGGAACAAGGCCAAGCCAAGGCCATTCTGTTAGGACACACCAGCTCATGGCCTTCCCAGGAGCACATGCCACCTCCTAGAGCAACACCACAGCAAAAAGCCAAAGATCACCTTCAGCAAAATAAAAGTCATTGCCACAATCTTCCCTTCCCATCAAACATACACAATTCTTGTGGCTTGCCCCAGGCTGATAACAAGAATACAACTAGCTATGACCTCATTTTTTTTTCTGTTGGGAAAGAAGAATCAGTGTCTATTTCAGAAAAGTTGAAATGCTGGCAAACAAATAGGGCAACCTGTGCATACCAAACCACAACAGACTTCCCCTCCATACAAGGTTTGGCATGGCATTGCTGTTTCTTCATATTAAGGACAGGAAGCAACTCTAAATTATGTATATAACTGTATCTCTGGGTAACTCCTTTTTTATGGTGATTCAGGTGGCAGATGACATGAGCACTAAACTGCATGATAAGAGAAATGCAGTAAATGAAAATATCACCAATTTACAAAAAAAAAAAAAATTTGGAAACCAAACCATGAAAAAGAAACAAGTTTGTAACAAGTTTCATCAGGTGATAAACAGCAGCACCAGGAAAGATATAGAAACTAATACGAAGAAAGGAGTGGAGAAAGACATATTTTTGCAGCCAACTTGTACAGCTATTTTCTAAAAACTGGAAGGCAAGTGGGGGATTAGGTTCTGGCATGCTTGATATTCCTGTGCATGATGGGATGATCTGCCTCGACTTTAAGCTTAAGATTCTTCTGCCAACAGTGGCCTGGGCCAGTTCTTGCGATTTGCTGTGGAATGGAGCAGAAAGGAAGGTTTGTAAGCAACCAGGCTTGTTCAAAGGGAACCTGCTCAACTGCCTCAACTGCAGCCAGAGCAAGCAGGAGGATGAGAAGTGAGTGGATACTAATGATCTGTCCATTGGAATCAGCATTTAGGTACTGCTGAATAGAGAAAGAATGTTAAAGCTTTAGATTCCTTGCTGCTACATATGCAGACATTATCATCCCAGAAGAATTAAGTATGTAGGATGAACATGCTGGTAGATGGTTCCAACCATTTAAATTGTGTGCTTGGCCTATTGTTCCTTCCTAATGATCCAGAAAGGTTTATCTCAAATGAGTGGGACCAAAAAGAAAAGACGAGAAGTACTGAGGATGCACTGACCTTAGTGAAGTTTCATAACCTTATCCTTCCAGCAAGCACAGTGGTAACAGACTATAGGAAAGAAGAGAAAGAGCTCTCCCAGTAAAGATCTCTGTAAGCCCTGCCATGTTAATAGGGCAGAATTTGAGGTAGAACATGTTCGGCATGAGATATACATGGAAGGGCAGCATCTCTTATGGGAAAGTTTAAGTTGCAGCAAGCAGGTCTCAAAGATCTACAAGAACTTAAAAAAGAGTCAGAAATATCCACTTTAGGAAATCTCACATTCCTATGCTAAGGCTCAGTTCTTATTTTTGTTAGATGTGTTTTGTGAACAGGAAAAACACAAGCACATCTGATGAAAGAAAGCTATCTAAAACAAAAAACAAACAAACAAAACCACACTTCGAATTGATCTAAAAAGATCTTTACTGGATTAGTCTGTGCCAATTGGCTGAGATGCCTATGTCTAGAAAGGGGCATTATCAGAGCAAGAAGTAAAACTCCTGGGCATTGCACTCAGACTGTCCTGCTCGCTAGGCAATCCCAAAGCGTTCAGTCTGCCTTCTAGAGGAGCTCTTGGACCTCACACTGAAAAGTTCAAGCCCAACAGGTTGCTTGTTCCACACACTGTCTGCACACCTCTTGGGAAATCCAAGCTTGGAAAGAGCTATGGGTATCTCCAGTATGAAGAGATCCTATTTAGGGAAAGTTTCTGGCAACTTTCCAGGAACAAACACTAATTCAACAATGTCTAATGCCTTTAAAAAAACTCAAAAAACAAACAAACAAACAAAAAAACAAAACACTCCTCTCCAGTAAAGTCCAACTTCAGGGGTCTTGCAACAAGTAAAAGATAGTTTGGTCTGGGCTGCAAATGCAAGTGTTAACAGGAGATGAACAACTGCAGTTAAAACAACTCCATACTCAGTCTGAATGAGTTTTCCAGGCCTAGGTAGTATTTAAAATTTGATAAAATCTAACCCTGGCACAAGGAACTCTGGAATATTGACCTCTGCCAGGCGGCAGGGAAAGCCAGCCCACAATTCAAAGTGCCTTGATACACAGGGCCAGCTCATCCGTGCTTTTCTGGTTGTGGTGGGGGTTTGCATTTCAATTGCTAGTGCCCGGGATGGGGAGAGCTGCTCTGTTCTGCACTGGTGAAACAGGACAGGGCTAAAACCTCCTCCCATTTTTCTATGCATTTAACAGACACATGACCCATTTTGTCCAAGCTGCAGAGTGATGTCAGAGCACCACAGAAAGAACTGAGCCCAGGGTTAGGCTGCTAGAGATACATGCACGTTCCCCTGTGAAGCACGCACTGAAATTGGGAGTGAACATGGGGGCAAAGGAGAGCAGGAAACTCCCAGTACTAGGTGGGAGAGCATCACCCAGAGAGGCCCTACAAATGCTGCACTGTAGCAATGCAGGACCATCAAGTACTGCTGGATGAGGATAAACTACAGCCTAAATTTATTGGCTTGAATCCACATTCTGTAGAGGATGGGTAGCCAACTAGGAGTTCCTGGATCTTACAAAACTCTCATGCAGCACCGTGTTGGCTTTGGGCTGCGAGGCAGTGGGAATCCCAGCTATGCAAGAGAGAGCCAGCCAGGCCCGCTAAGGACCCCAGCAACCCCCTGTGTTCACCGACACCCAGAGCAGCCATGGAGCAACGCAAGCCCAGGGGAACCACCAGCATCCTGCGGTGGGGACCAGCCCGTGCTCCCCTCCAGCCGTACCATGCTGTCTCCAGGCTCACATGGTCGACTCCCATCTCAGGGCTATATGCAGGTTCGCTTCTCTGTATCTGCTTATCTGGAAAACCACAACACCCGCTGGAGAAAGGAGTTCATAACACTTTCCTTGCTCTTTCTCTTTTCAGAGGGAAATAAAGTAATCTGAAATCACTTCTTGTATAAACAGCACATGCCCTTGGGTCCGTTTCTGTCATGGTAATGGATGGGATGGAAAAAAAAAAAAAAACCCACAGTGCCACAGTGCTGCCTCCATATTTCTCTCCAAGTCTTTGGCCACAGTAGGATGCATCTGGTAGGCATCCTTTGCAAAAAGAAATGCAATCTGGGCAGCAGTAATAAAGCAGTATGTCAGTATGCACAGAATAGTGTGTGTTGGGGAAAAGCATCTGATGGAATTATTTGTTCCCCTTTTGCTTTGTAGGACTATCAGTCCTTTCCGAGTGTGCCATATTTTACACCCAAGCTCTACAAATGTTTTACCTTTCATATGCACTATGGCCTGGCTGTGGTTCTCCCCTCTAGCATTTCTGGCATAGCAAGTATAATTGCGCTTCAAGTCCTCTGGTGTGGCTTTTGGAACTGTTATAGTCTTTATGATAGTTTTGTCTTCAAAACTTCCAACAATTTCACTGGAAGAGAAAAGCTAGAAAATTACACACATGAAATTGCAGTGAGTTCTTAGTGATGAATAGTGTTTCTGTGATGGAGCCTTAGCCCTTCTTTTAAAACTTAAGAATTGGTATATATTTCACATTTTAAGATGGGAAATTTCAGCTGTGACTGTCCCTTTATCTGATTTTGCTTACGTTATTTTACCATTCATACTTCTCTCATTGCAGACGTGTCGCATTGTATTTTAGAGACAAAGAATTTCTTGCCTGCAAAGCAACAGATTTTATGAACTCTGGATTCAGAGTCCTTCACAGACTTTTTGTGCAATCCTGGATGAGTCACTTTATGCTTGAACTTATCTGCAAATTTGGGATAATAATACTTTCTTCTGCCTCTTATTTTTCTACATAGATTTGCAAATTTACTGTAGTAGCAGCTGCCTAAGACATGCTGTTCAGTACCCAGCAAATAGGATTCTGAACCTCATTTGGGTTCTTCATGTAATTGAACCTCTCCTCTTCCTAATAACTACTATATATAATACTAGATTTTTTTCCTTAGCCTCTGGCTTTTAAAACATTTGCTTCATTTGTGCTATTTTTGAACATTCCTGCAAACAAAACTGTGTGTTTTAGAAGTGAAATCTCACAGTAGATTTGCAAATCTGAGCAGCTAAGTATTTGATACTTCCAGCTGTTGTCACCCTATCAGGACCTGAATGAGTGACAGTGCAAACTCCTGGACAAAGTTCCTTTGAATCCTTCTGTAAGACTAGGCACCACTAAAAGTACCCACGGGCCTCCTCCCCAGAGCTTCTAACCCTTATCATCTGGCTTTCAGCAAAATGAGACAAGTGGGGTATTTGGTCTCAGTATTTATGGTGAAAGAGCAAGAGTAGAGGGATGCTAGGAGGCCTCCAAAGATTTGATCTTCTTTTATCTGGAATCCCTCATCTAAGCACTTCCCTTGGGGTTGGGATAGCCACATGAACACACATCTGCTGGAGCACTCTCTGAACTGCCATTCGGAAGTGAGCTGTCTCGTGGTTCTCTATGCCATAACCCATCTACTATACATGGTCAGGGACTAAGAAGCTCTAGCAGAGACACAGTGCTGTTGCAGATCTGTACCCAGGACCCCTCTGCAGGATCCAAAGAGAAAGTGAGATACAAATGAAGGTCTCCTAAGTGTTACCTTTGTGTGACTTTTATCTTGGGGTCCATGATGTCATCTGTGTTTTTCCCATCTATGGTCCACCAGACCTCAGTCCGGGAGTCCTTCAAGAAGGTAAAGAAGACTTCACAGGACAGTACAAGCTCATCTCCTGGGAAAAAGAGAACAGTGAGGTGGATAGCACGGCAGGAGCAGCACCATCCTGAATCACGTGCTTTCTGGTGACCCTGTCAGCCTGAGTTCTGCCTCCTCCCAGGAGGGAACAAGGCCAGCATACACCTTCAAACATCTGATAACAGCTGAACACCCAGGCCCACTAATTTGTGGCAGACCAATAGACAGGAGAATATCCTGCTTTCCTAATTAATTTAGGAATTCCTTGACTGCAATGAATGGTTCACCCACAGAAGATGGCTCATGCCTACCACTTCCTTGGAAAGCAGGACAGTGTTAATGATTCCCCACTGCGCAGCAGGCAGTTATTGTAGAGAACAAGGTCCATTCCACAGAAGTATTTTGTTGCGAGAACACTTGTTCAGGTACTTCACTTTGCAACAAGACAAGGCTTAGGGGCCTAAATCTTTGCAAACCAGATCCTAAGTGACTTTGTCTCACAGCTGGGCTGTGGGAGAACTCTGACCTTTTGAGTCAGAAAGCAAAGTGAAGATTGGTGTTAATCATCATCATTGGCACCATATTTATTACAGCAATCAACTGAGATCAGCTTGTAATGGGACAAGTTTAGGGAACTGCTCCAAGGAGCTATCCATCTTAACAGATGGCATGGGGGAAGGGGTGAACACACTATTACACAACACTATGAGGTCAGCAAGAGGAGGCCTGCCATTAATTAGGAAGTAACCAGCTAAAAGAAGCAAGGAGGAGAGATGAGCAAAATGTGGCAAGAAGGGTGAAACCACTGAAAGGCCAAATGAGTGACGGTTGAATCAAATAGGCAGTGACAAGGCTAAGACAAAGTCCTACAAGGATCTCTCTGAGCAGATGACAATTTGTTTGCTTCTGCAGCTGCTCCAACCTGAGAGACTCCTGTATCTCCATGTCTGAATACCTCAGAAAAAAAGAAAATCTGTGTATTCAAATAAACTTGTAAAGCTGTTCTCTCCTACTCTGTCATTGAGAACTGGCACCCGAGGCAGGGAAAGCATTGAGGGAGCAGAGGAAGGGGAACCCCTCTGTGCTTGTCTACCCCAATCCTGCAGACAGGCTGCCATTTACCTGGGTCCAGCTCATAGACAACTTTCTCATTTGGAGAGATGAACTGTGGTGGCAAGGCCTTGTTGGGAGAGCCTGTGGAGAGAGCAAGAGTCCCCCATGGGAGATGCAGACTTCATGAGACTCTGGTATTCTTACAGCCTTGCTCACGATACCGCCCACCGCTCATGCTCTGATCTAACATGTAATACATCCCTGCTGCAGAGATTCATCCAGAGAGTCCCAGTTCCCAAATTCAGTGTCAGATGCTGAATCAGAAGCTCATCCAAAGCTTAAGTACATGTAGATGAAAGGTTTCGACCCCTCCCACATCCAAGCACTCCCATGTCACTCATTTTCCAGGAGACAAAAAAAATCTATAACAGAGCTTGTACTTCATTTTTTAGGAGAAACAATAAAAAGAAACGTGTTTTCCTGCCGGTGTTCTCTTCAGGTCATTTGGCGAGGTAGTCGGTAGGACCCCTCCAGTGCGACATGCAAACAAGCAAAAACATATCAAGGATAGGTGAATCGGGTAATACAGGCTGAACACATTCATAAATGGATCATGTGACAGGCTTTTCTAATTGTTTTCACCACTTCTACTGTTATTCATTCAAAATTTCCACTTTTAAAAAGAGCCATTCTTACCCACAACCTTCATCTTTATGGTTCTAGTGAGATTGTAAGTTCTTCCGTGGTCCCTGAACGTCACAATGCAGGTGTAATTCCCTTCGTACACACTGCGAACAACGCCGATAACAAGCTGGAACTTTTGGGGATATCGTTCATAGAAGTCATTAATCAACTTGCAGTTCTAGGGTAAAGCAGAAAAAACCCTTGAGTTTTGGGACTCAAACTTGATATTGATTTAATGCTGCTACAAAGCTTTTTTTTAAAAAAAAACTATGAATTAGATAAGTCTAGCCTACATCACAATCAGAAGTAAATGCCACAAATCCTGAATATGTTGTAAGGGTCATCTGTTCCAGTTTTATCCTACCTTATACCTGGACAATTTTATAAAAGACAGAGCTATGGTCTAGAGGTAGATTTGCAAGAAAGGAGAACACCTCAGCAAAAGGAAGTGAAAAAGTAAAAGGTGAACATGTCCTCAGCTGATGTCAGCTTCTCTAACTCATTTGCAGCTAATCAAGGTACCCTCATTGATATGGCTGTAAAAAAAGGCCCCAAAATGAGCAACTGACAAAAGAGAATCTATAGTACAGAAACGTTAATATCTCTTCTCTTCCTGTCTGATGAGGCAGGAAACTTCTGCCAAGCACCAAGCTAGAGATTCCTTTTCAGGAAGGGACAATGCAGATCACATCTTGATAGTCATAAAACCCAAAGATATACACATTTCCTAAGAGATTATTTCTGAATGGTACATTTCCAAGTCAGATATATCCTAATGGATCAATTTAACACAGAGGTCATACAACATTTTTTATGTTTTTTATTAGGCATGCAATGGTGTGCTGCCTGCAAAAATTATTTGCATGGGGCTTTTTGTTTCATTCAGCTAATTGAAATGTGAATTTCAAGGGTTGGTATAACTAAGGCATTACAATCACTGGAGTGAAACTTCTCTTGGCTACAAATGTACTTTTTTCCTGAGGAACTTGAGAGTTGGATTTTTTTTTTTTTTTGTTACAGCAGATATATTGATTGCCAACTTTATTATTAAATTCCCTCATAGAGCACCTTCTTATCTAGAAATCTTAAAGTGTTTCGCAAGCAGTTAGAGAATTCAGTCCCATAACCCTCTGGCTGCACTTTATCTGAGAATTTCTTATTCTCCCTGGATTAAAGGCATCCACCCAGAGAATGGCACTGAGGACAAGATTTAATAAAATGAGCAATAATTTTGTATGCTTGCCTGCAGATAGCTGAAAACAGTGTCGTTTTCAGAGCGGTTGGGAAGGAGTGTCCACATGTTCAGAAATGAGGTCCATTGAATTGCGTTGAACTGGCCTCCCATGGCCAGTTGCACGTACACTTGAACAGGCCTTGCACGTACAACTTCATCATTTGACCTCATGGGATCTTAGGTAGAGCAGGCTACTTTCACTAGCACATGAGGAGGGCTTTTTACTGAAGAGGGGAAGTGAGTCACAGCTTGCTTTATGGGGCCAATGACTTGCCCATACAGCAAGTCATAGATACGTCTAGGAACTAAATTGAGGTTCGTAAATTCCTGCCAGAGATTACAACCTTTCCATGTTAGCTCTCAATTTTATACAAATTTCTTAAGAATTGAACTCAATGAAATGAAATTCTTTATTCTAGCTTTGCTAATTTGAAGAGTTTTATCTCTATTAAGACACTGAAACATAGCTCCACAATTTTCATGCCAAGCACTGAATAATGTCCTTCTTACCCTGTACCATTTGACAGTTGGCGTTACACTAGCAGGATAAAACCCATCAACATCTGGACATATAATCTTCTCATAAGCGTGCTCCAGGTAGAACATCTCCTCAGCTGGTTTTATTGAATGACTGACACAGGAGTGTTGGTCTTTTGCAACCACTTCCAAGGGAAATGCAACTTTGCTGCAATAGGTTGTATTTCTGAGGACAGAGGAGGATATGATTGATTAAATAAGAATAGTTCGCTTAGGTATTTTTGGAATGAAATAAAAAACAAAAAACAGCATTGAGGAACATGAAATAAAAAAAAAAACAGCATTAAGGAACATCATAGCTCTGATGCGCTAGCTATATACAGCCTCTGTTGACTAATTGGCATATGGGAAAGAAAACATCATTGGAGGTGGCTACACAATACCTCAGAAAATCCTATAAATACGACTAACACGCAGCATCCACTCCCCTGGTATAAAGCAGATAATAGGGTCAAAGACATGATGAAGAAGAAACATTGTGAGAAAGGGATCAGAAAGTGCTCTTGTGCTCAATGCATAGCAGAGGCTACGTTCATTTTATACAAAATTTAGAGACACTTTTAATTTCCTAGAAGTCTGAATCTCATGAATCTTCACCAAATTTGCATGCAGGCAAAACATTACCCCTGTATGTGAAGTTATTTTCTACTCTAGACGTACAGATCGCTTCTTAATGGTGAGTGCCTGTGGATTTTGCCATGGGCTCAGCAATAATATTTTCATGGACACTTGCAGTTAGCAAGGAGAGCATGTTCATTACTGTTTCAAGGCTTCGAGCTTTATTACAATGTAAATTGGCTCAGTTCTGAACATTCTTAAAATTGTAACTTTTTTTTTTTCCACATATTAATGCTTATGGTCTTCTCACTACAGAAATATTTGAAGCTAACAGCATAATTATCCATAAATATCCATGAAAGCCCTTCGATTGTCCTGAAGTCTGGTGCAGAAGCTGTATCACACGACCTACCTGAGCATGCATGTATAATTCCCAGTGTCATTGAGAAGGGCAGGCCAGAACCAAAGGGTGTCTTTCTCCTTACTGATGCGATTGTCTGGGAGACGGAAGTTAATGGGCTCTTCCAGATCCCGGTCCTGCCCAATCCGGTACCAGATCAGGGTTAAACCAGCAGAATGGGCTGTGCTGTAGTTGTACTTCAGGAAGGTCTCAAAGAGAGGGCATTTGATCTTAGCAGGTTCCCCATCGTAAATCTGGATCTGTTTCATGGTGTCCACACCCCAGTCATCACAGCGTTCTGCAACCAGGAAGAACAGGTGACTTAGCTTGCAAATCTGCAGGAGGAAAACCAATTCTGCCCACGTTCCCCACAGCCCATGGTCCTGTCCCCACTGAAATTAAGAGGCAGTAATCAAGTGCTTCATTGGAAGCAATCCTGAATGTTACAAAGCAGTGCAAGAACATTGGTTTTTCTTCTGGATATGGGACCAGATGCAAGTGAAGCATGGTGCCAGCACGCCAGCTAACCTGCAAGCATCTCGCACTCCAGTGCCCGTTGAGATGCATAATGATGTGGATGGACAACCTTGCACTTCCCGTCTTACTGTGCCGCCAAGGCATGGCATGGCACGACACCAGCTCCGCAGCGCAGCTCTCATGGCTGCTGGGAGGGATTATCTAGGGCAGCCTGATGTCTCAGGGTCAGTCAAAGAGAAAAGGGGTGCAGCCCCCGTGCTGCTTACAGCTGTGCCCAGGGAGGTGTCTCAGTGTATCACAGGAACACCAGAGATCACGTTGCCTCTCTGGTTTGCGGATATTAGAAGAACGTGGACAGAAAGAAAAACGGAGTACAATATGTTCTTTGAGCCCAGTACTTCTGAACTGACTTCATAGGCCCAAAGCAGGATTCCTGGCATTTTATCTTCCTTAAATAGACACTGGGATGTAGCTTGGCCCCAAATTCACACTTAATTTATAAAAGCAAAGAGACAGGCTTACAAACCTTCAAGAAGTCGGGGCTCACAGTGCTTAAAGGCAGCAATACTAACTCATGTGGCTCAGCAATGTTTAGTCACATTGAGGAGGAATCTGGGCCAATAAGAATAGAAATGTTTTCTGGCTGTTTTATATATAAACATAAATGCAAACTGAGCTGCTCCTCCTGTGGTATGCCAAACACCCACATGATGGACTCCTGCTTCTAGAGAAAGAGTGAGGTGGGATAGGAAGAGGCAATGAAGCTAAGGCATCCAGGTATTCTCTAATAGGAGACAAAAAACAAATTGCTGGAGAGTGCAGCTAACTCTTCACCTTAGAAGCACAGATATATTTCAAAGGTTCACAGCATCAGCTAACTTCCTTGCTATCACAGTCAGCCCAGAGGCACATTCTGAGTGATCAAAACCGCTACTGAAAGCCTCATACCACAAGAAGGTGCATAACCACTAATCACTGCCATGGGCAAGGCCAACTGGAACCAGTATGCATGCTGCTTAATACTGGCAGAGACAAGTTTCCAGAGAGTGGCAAACAAGACAAATGAGTCTGCCAGGGACTGCCCACTAATTGTGCGATAAAGTTCTGATTGCTTTTTGTGTGAGGTCATTTGTTTTTATAAAGAAAGCCTTTCCTTTCTGAAAGGAGCGAGGTCTCAGGAGTCTTTTGGGTCTGTATATCAGGATACTGGGGTTTTCTTCCTTGCACCTGACTTTGCTGCGTCCTCTTGGGCTGCATAAAGGCAAATTGTCCTTGTTACTTCAAATGGCAGCATTGGAGAGTGAGAAAACTGTATTAGAAATTACATCAAATTTTTGCACTGAAATTCTTGGAGTAAAGATCAATGAATTTTGCAATCATGAACAGCTCTTTGCATTTTGTAACAGCTCATAAATCAGCATTGTAAAACTACTTACCGCTTCTACCTGAATCAGTAATTGAAAATAAATACATTGTTTTCAGATGGTTCAGGGAAAAAAAAATTAAAATAAAATAAGGTTGGATAGGCCTGGCTTTCTTGGTTGGGGGAGGGAGAAGCAGCTGTTAATTGTTATTCAGTATGGTAAGAGAGGTACATGGAGATCTTGTCTCAGAGTTGACTAATTCTCCCAACTTCAGAATCGCTGTCACACTGACCGGTCAACCCCCGGCTTGTGCTGTCAGGACAGGTTTAGGTGTGCCCTGCCCTGGGGTGCTGCACGCTCCAACCTTAGCCCCAACTGCCACACACGGCCATGCCAAGCAAGAGCAGCTGCACCACTGATCATGGAAGTCTATTCTCTCTGTTTGCTACTAACACCAGTATCCAAAGGTTTGGATATCAGTGTAAGTTGGAGATAGCTTAAGAAAGGTCATGGGACTTCGCACTGAATCGCAATGGATCCCCAACTCCCACTGGGGAGAATATATATATATATATATGTATATGTATATGTATATATATACACACACACACTTACGTATCGATATATCTCGGTCCCAATACTAATATTCAAGAGGGCATGACAGATCATGAGGAAAGAACATGCAAGAACCCAGTTCTCACTGTGAGTTACAGCATTAGATTCTATGGCTCTGTGCCAGTCTGCACCAACTCATGCCCTTGCTCTCACTGTTTAAGTTGAAAAAATGAATTTCTTCTCTTTTTTTTGTGTGTGTATGTGGTGTGTGTGCCCGTGCATAAACAGAGCTGTTAGGGTTAAGAACAGCAAAATCAAGCGGGATTGGCATTCATTTAGTGACTTCAGGAATTCATTAGACAAATGGAAATCCAGTCTAGAGGCTGTATGTGACTCCACAGTCCTTTCTGCACAGCAGCAAGTGGAGCACAAAACAAGTAACTGAGGGAGAAGATGAAATTCCAAAAATCCATCATCCCACAAATGCGTTTTCCTTGAAACGCCTCTGTGAAAGACCTTTGTAAGACGTCCCCCTTTTCTCAGTGCTGATCACGTGTACTGCAGAGCTCTAGCTGACCCTTCTCTCTGCTGGGTGCTGTGCAACCACAAAGCAGGGCAGTCTGTCTCCCATAATACTTACAGGAAAAATGCAGGAAACAGAACATATCTAGTCTTTTCTTTGCCACTGCATTAACAGCAAACCCAGGCAGCAAGGGGATTGACTCGCCTAAGGTCACAGAGAGAGTTAGTGGTGGGAGCCCACCCCAGTCCAGTCCCCAAGCCACCAGTCACAGAAAGGGCCAGGTAAGAAGCATCATGTGCTGCAGAAGGGTAAGGAGCTCTGGAATGGGAGTCAAAGAGAAGCAGAGAGAGAGGGAAAAGCCAGGCAACAAAAGCTCTGCTGTGTAGCCCAGGACAGCTATTTAGAGGTTTTACGCAGAATAGAGGGTGCTGCTGCAGTACTGGTATGGAAAGGCATGAGGATTATACAAGAAGGTTGCATATTAGAAGGAGGGAAAAAAAAAAAAAAAAGAAAAAAAAGGGGTCATCTCCAGCACAGGAGACAAAGGACACAGCAAGGATGCTGATCTTGTTCCACCTGCCTGGAGATGAAGATGAGAGCAGACTGCTTCCTTCTACCGCTCTCCTCTGGTGCTAGTTTGCACAGAGAAAGGAGTTGGCAAAGTAAACTCCAAACATCTTCCTGGCTTGTGATCCCTGTTCATGGAGGATATCTATTACTGATAGTAAGGAGAGCTCTCTCTCCTGTCAAAGAATTACAGAATCATGGAATGGTTAAGATTGGAAGGGATCTCTAGAGATCATCTAGTCCAACCCCCTGCTCCAGCAGGGACACCCAGAGCACGGGGCACAGGGTCTCTCCAAGTGAATTTTGAAGATCTCCAGAGAAGGAGCCTCCACAGCCTCTCTGGGCAGCCTGTTCCAGGGCTCTGTCACCCTCACAGGAAAGAAGTTCTTCCTCACATGGACATGGAACTTCCTGTGTTTCAATTTGTACCCATTAACCCTTGTTCTGTCACTGGCCACCACTGAGAAAAGTTTGGCCCCATCCTCCCTACATTCTCCCCTCAGGTAGAAATTGTCAAACCAGCCCATTTCTAAATCTGGTGTTACAACATCCTTAAGCATCAGTCACACCAAACAAGACTATTTTTCAGAAGCCAAAAGATGAAGAAACTGCCTCCATCAGACAAAGTAAAAAGCAAAAGGTAGAAAGGAAAATAATGATGTTGCTCAGCTGCATAACAGTGAAAACATTTCTTAAAACTTGCTCAACCTTTCACTTACTGCACTGATTTACCCACTTGGGAACAGGCTCTGAATTCACCCATCAAAATACTTCCTTCCAAGATGCATCTGCAAAACCCAATAGCAGCACCCACACATTCAAAACCCCCAGGGGGAACTGGTGCAATTATTTGGACTGACAAGGGGAAAAACTGCTGAACTGAGGGATTAAAAAAGCCATAGAGTGAGACCAAATCAAGAAATGCTACCCCAATTTGCTGCAGTTTGGCAGTTCTGTGCAGTCATTTTAAGTATCTTCGCAGCAACTCCATTTCAAAAACTTTCCACCACTGAAATCTGATTAGCTCCCCACTGCCTCCACCCCTTCTCTTCCTATCCCTCCCCTGGGGCTACCAGCAAAGGCTTCCACTAGTTAAAATTTCTGTGAAGAAATAGTCAACAGCCACTCTTATGACAGGCCATCCATCATGTCAGCATAAATTTCTCTTCCATTTGCCAAATCGATGAGTCCTCCTTAATTGCCTCCGACCCTCGGAAGGGGGCCCACCCTGCACACACAACAGGGTTTGCAGCGACAGCAGGACAGGAAGCTCCGTTGGCTGAACTACAGTCAAGTGCTCTGAGCTCTCCTTCCCTGCATTATTTTGGTGGCTCTTTCAGACAGAGTGGCACTATTTTAGCAGTTTCTTCAGCTGCCACCACTGTGCTATCATAAGGTAAAGCTGACATGGTTCAGTTTCCAGGCAGGGTTAGTTGGGAAGGCAGGCAGAGCAGTTAGCCTGATAGAGGAATTGGCATCAGTGAGGCACAAAGAGCTGGCCAGGCAAGTAATTCAGTGAGAATTAATCATTACCACCTTAAAAAAAAAAATCTTCCACCCTCTTTCAAGTTCACAGCAGATAGGAGCATGATAAAGCACCAGAGGAAGCTGGGTTGAATAAGAGAGCTTCACTTTGAATAAAGAAGGCACCGTGTGTGCCCAGCAGCCATATGTAGGCACACTTTCTATATACACTGGTAGCAGGAGCACCAACTCTTACACTATATTGGTATCAGCTCTGTCTGGTTTTTATGTTTGCACTTACACTGGCACAAGTGCATCCCACAGCAGCCTGCTCCATGGCTGTGTGTT